AAATTAAAAAATATATATGAAAAAAATTTCAACAGCACTGGTTATTTGAGAAATGCAAATTCAAATAACACTGAGATTCCATCTCACTCCAAAAAGAATGTCTATCATAAAGAAATCAACTAATAATTAATGCTGGAGAGGCTGTGAGGAAAAAGGAACCATTCTTCACTGTTGGTGGGAGTGCAGACTGGTACAACCTCTGTGGAAATCAGTGTAGAAACTCCTCAAAAATCTAGCATTAGAAGTCGCATTTGACTCAGCTCTTCCTCTTCTGGGTATTTCCCCAGAAGAATTGAAAACATCATACCACAGCAATATATGGGTATAGCAGCACAATTTGTCATAGCCAAATCTTGTAAATAACCTGAATGCCCATCAACTGAGGAATGGATATAAAGATATCCTATTTTTATACAATGGAGTATCACTCAGCTATAAAAATAGATATACTTGTGGGTTTTACAGGTAAATGAATGCAACTAGAGACTATGCTCACAAGGGAAATAAATCACTCCTTGTCTCCCTAGTGTAAGAACCTGAAACAGAGAAGAAAACCTGAAAGGTACAATGGATACAGCAAAAGGGAAAATAACTGCTTAAGGGGAATGAATGGCTGGGATGAGGGAAGGGAGAGGGGAAGGAGAAAGAAGGAAGGCGGCAATCATGTATTTGTGTACACAGGATAGCTAGGATGATTGTGCTGATAATTTTTATGGTTTTTTAGAGGTAGCAGTTAATGCTTAAAATATTTATTTTGACCAATTTTGCTTGCTTTTATCTGGTAATCTGGGCAACTACATTGAGGATAGTGGTGTGCAATGTGGCAGCCATTGTTGGGTACCTCTCATCTTGTTTGGCTTTTTGGAAATTGTGTATCATTTCTAGTGTCCAATCTATTATTTTCTATTCTCTTTAAAATAAAAGAACTAGGTACAGATATATCACTGTACCCATTTTATAGATGAGGAAGCGCGAGGCTCATAGAGGTTGGACAATTTTCCAATGTCTCTCTGCTCAAATGGCAAAATCAAGGTTTGGATATAATTCTCTCTGACACATTTTTTCTACCATATTAGGAAAAGTCTTTTTCATGATAAAAAGAATAATTGCATTAATGAAAATCATAAAAATGCAAATTCAAATGGTTGAAAGATACTTCTATATGGATAAGAATGTTTAAACCTGGTGTGAGACAATTTGTGTATTTGTGGGTAAGGAATAGATACAATTATATATTACCAATAGGCACAATTAGTGTTTATCCTCTTCTGGAACATAATATGAAAATAAGAATATACAAATGGGGCCTAGATAAGAAAAAATTATAGAATTTCCTTTGTCTAATACAGTTAATTTATTTTTGTAATAAGAACCAGGCATTTCATACAAAAAGCGTGTGAGCAAAAAGCAAAAAGTAGAACAACCTAACCTCAAACTCACTATGTAGCCTGAGCTGGTTTCAAACTTTGGTGATACTCCTGCCTCAGCTTCCAAGGTCTGGGATTACAAGGTGTACCACCATGTCTATTTTCTAATCACTTTCTAATTGTTTTCTATTTAGCCATGTTGGCTTTTTTTTAGATGCCTCCTTAAAGCTTTATGTACTCTGGGGCTTTTTGGACCTGGCTGGATCTAGTGTGTGTGACACTTAGATTAAGGGCGTGTGACAACTAAATGGTTTTAGCATAGTTCTGGGTGTAGATAATAGAAGCCTGACCCTGGATATGGTGGCACCAGTCAATAGGCCTATAGCTTAGATGGATTATAAAGGAATGGAAAAGGCAGGCTGCCTGCTGCTTGGTGTCTTCTGCTTGCTTCCTTCTGCCTGCTGCACCATGAACTGCTTCTCCTCTGTGATGCCACTTGGCCATACCACCCTGACTTGGAGCCAGCTGGCTATGGAGTTGTTTTAGTTACTTATTTCCTTGTTGGGACAAAATACACGACACTCAAAGTCAAAGAGGAAAAAGTTTAGTTAGCTTACAGTTTGTAGAGGTGTTAGTCCTTAATCAGCTGGTCCCAAGGTAGGGTGGCATGGGACAGGGGCAACAGTTCAGGCAAAAGACAGCACAACCAATAAGAACAAAAGTGAGGAGCAAGTCTCTTCCTCTCTTATAATCTATGCAGAGTTCCCACTCTAGAAAAGGTATAGCACTCACACCCCTAATCTTAGCACTAGACAATGAACCAATCACAAACTAGATTTTGCCACAGCCAAAAAAACCCTGCCCCTATGACCGCATGAGGCTTGGGGCAAGGGGAGAAATCAAGACACAAATCATAACTGGGCTGAAACTCCTACAAGTTGAGCTGAAGTAAACCTTTCCTCCTCTAACTTGGGACCATTGGGTATTTAGCCTCAGCGATAAGAAAAGTAAGGAAGACACCTTCCTAGTAAGGGTGTGGAGCAGATGTGGCTGGTGTGGACGTTCACGTACACATCTAAGGGTGTTCCCCTGCAGCCCCACGTCTTATCTGAAGGTATGTTTGCTTTTGCTCTTATTTCACTTCAGCTCTACTTTTTCTCCCCTCAGGAGGTAATTGGGAATTGACTGTAGTTTGAATCCTAGTAAAATATGTAGGACTTTAGAATACGGCTATAGCCCTCCTTTTCTTTCTTGCTCTGTAAGTTATTTTTCTCTCTTTTTTCCCTATGAAACAGACTTGCAAGCATCGTGTTGCCTGGGCATTCCGCACAGAGTTTCTGCGGAGGGAAGATGTAATTCACTCCTTCTATTATATCTACCGTGTGAGCTGGAGCGTCCCAAGTGCTCAGTTTCCCCTAGCAATTATCTTCACCCTGGCCTACTTCACTCTCAAGATAAGCAAAAACAAACCTCTGGTAAGCTCTGTTTTTTTGGTCCCTGCTCCTTTCAGTGAGGCTTCAATGGAATACAGACTTTTTTGCTGAATTATATTTCATATTTCTGTCCTCACGTGGCCCATCTGCAGCAAGTCACAATGGATTACTCTTGCCTCCATGACACTTTCCATCAGGCTCCCAGAACAACATACTCTCCTGCTTTTCCTCCTGCCTCACGGGCCATCCCTCCTCAAGTTTCTACTGGCATCTCTGCCTCACACCAATCCCCTCATATTGGAATGTCCCCAACTCAGGCTTTGGGCCTCCTCTGTACTCACTTCCATGATTACCTTGTTCAGTCTTATGGCTTAAAATGTCACCTATAGCCTGTGATTCCCAAACTTATACCTCCAGCCAGAACCTCTCCAACCTGAATGCTTAATGAACAATTCACTTATTGTATATCTAAAAGGGAACTTTGATTTTTCCACTCAAATCTGACTTTACTACATTATCCATCTCAACTGATAGCCAAATCCTTGGTGTCATCCCTGACTCTCATTTTTTAAAACAACCTTCATCCCAATCCATTAAGCAATACAGTTAGATACGACTTCGAGTTCAAGTCCCACCTGGGTATCTTAGCAAGGTGCTACTTAAAATAAAAATACATTTAAAAAAGGGCTGAGGATGTAGCTCAGTGGTAGAATAACCCTGGTTTTTTTCTCTAGTACTGAAAAAATATCCAGTTGTCTCTACCCTGAAAAATATGCCCAAAACCCCACAATTTTGTACCACTCCACTTTTACTACCCTGGGCCAAGCTTATCCTCTCTCACCAAGATTATTGTAGTAGCTTCCCAAGCTCTCTGATTTCATCCTTGCACTCATATATCTCTTGGCAGTACAGCAGGCTGCCAGCATGAGCCTTGTTAAAATCAAAGTTTCCCATTTAAAAGTTTCCTGAAGTATGTTTCAAACTTGAAAGTGTGTACAGGTGAAGGAGAGTTTTCATTAAAATAAAAATTCTGATTCAGCCAGTGTAGAGTAGGGCTTTGGATTCTGCATTTCTAACAAGCAGCCAGACAATGCTGACAGTACAGGTCCAGAGACTTACATTTGAGTAGCAAAACTCTACAAGGGCTATGGGATTTAGTCCTTTGTTATTCTGCTTTTCCACGACCTCTTCCCCTCGCTTTTTTTTTGTGGAACCAGGGATTGAACTCAGACCCTTGCACTTGCCAGGGAAGTGCTTATTCTACTGAGCCATCTCCCCGCTCCCCCTTGCTTATTCTGCTACAGCCACTCTGATCTTGCTATTCCTTAAATAGGCCAGATATAATCCTGCCCCAGAGCCTTTGCACTTGCTATTTCTTCTGACAAGAACACGCTCCCCTAGACATGTACACTACTTGCTCCCTAACTTTTCTTACACCAGCTATCTTATCCTGTTTTATTCTACAATACTTTACTACTTTTTTTTTTTTGTGGAACCAGGGATTGAACTCATGCCCTTGCGCTTACTAGGGAAGTGCTTATTCCACTGAGCCATCTCCCCGGCCCCTACTATTTTCTAATATTCCATTTAATTTATTATTTTGTTATTATCTGCTCGCACACCAGAACATAAGCTTGATACAGGTAGAGATTTTGGTCTTGCTATGAAATAAGGTCTACAAAATAGTATGTGTTTAATAAAAATTTCATGGACTACTTGTAGCCACTAAGTAGACTGTGAATAAGAAATATGCTGACTTGATGGCTAGTGTCAAAGGAGTCAAAATAGTTATCTGTGCATTCAGGGGGAAGGGTCCTTATAGGAATGGCGATGATGCCAAGCTCAATGCTTAGACAATAACACATAAAAATGTTATTATCTATCTTCTTTCCATCCTTTCACAAGGTATTTGAGCTTTTGTTTGACTCCAAGGCTTTATCTAGGGACCACAAAGTCAGTGAGGCAATCATGTCCTCTATTCTTATCCTAGAATGAAATCTCTATTGAGTTTGGAACATAAAACATCTAAACAGGTACTACAGGTGTACAGTTCACTTCTCTCGGTCATATATCCTTCCATCAGCTGTCTTGCTGACTGACAAGGTCAGAGTGTGCAATAAGGCTGCTAGAGGGGCTGGCGAGATAGCTCAGTGGACTAAGCCCCTGCTTAGGCAAGTGCAGGGGCTGGGGTTCGATCCCTAATACCACATGCCGCGCTGGCCCCACACCCTAGGTGCGCTGAGCCGGCCACTGAGCCTCGGTGTGGTAGTGCACATCTGTAACCCCAACACTGGGGAGGCCGAAAACAGGAGGATCGCTATGAGTGTGAGCTGTGTAATGAGACCCTGTACCAAATACATTAAAAAAAAATAAGGCTGCTGAGCAAGACTATACTGGAGATCATGTACAGTACAAAGAGGTTTTGGAAGAATGGTTCTTGCTCAAAATTTGAAGTGAGAATGGGGAGGGACCACAGAGACAGTATTGTAGTCTATTTTTTATGCTGTCATGAAAATGTTTTCAAACCTGTTCATGTATATAATTTCCTTCTGGTGCCATTCCTTTTTTTCTGGTACCGGGGACTGAACTGGGATCCTGTGCTTGCCAGGCAGGCACTTATTCTATCTCCCTGGCCCGTAGTGCTATTCCTGAGAGGCAGAGCTTATTGGCTGAATAAACCAGAGTGTGTAAAGAAGGTCAGTGACTTACTTGTGCTGTTAATGAGAAGCATGAACCTCTGTCATCATGTTCTTGGTGTTATGGTGATTCTCAAGGTATTTGCTGTTGAAAAGATCTTTTGCAGAACAGTTTTGATGTGACAAAGAACTATGATCTATACACTCCCACACAAGGAAAATGTTTTCTGGACATTCAACAGCATACATATGGACAAGTGGAGGGAGGGAAGGAATTAAAAGTTGGCATGATTAGTCTAGGCTGATGGTTGTTCTTTTCTCTTAGGAAGCACCTGTTGATCTCTCTTTTGTATTTGAAAACCAAAAATTCATCCAAAGGTAATAAATATTTGGAGACTTACTTTATTAGTATTTTGTTTTTGAGACAGGGTCTTGCTATGTAGTTTGGGTTGGTCCTGAATTCACTATGTAGTGCATGATGGCCTCAAACTCATGGTGATCCTCTTACCTCAGCTTCCTGCATGCTGGGATTAAAGATGTGCACCATCACGCCTGGCTCTTGGGAGATACAATTTTGGGGGGAGATTTACTTTAAAAGGGCAGGGGACGGCCCTACCCTGGGGGCGCACTGAGACTGGGCATGGTGGCATGTACCTGTAATCCCAGTTGCTTGGGAGGCTGAAAAACAGGAAGATTCACTACAAATCTGATCTCTGTAGTGAGACCCTGTACTAAATACATTAAAAAATAAAAAAATAAATAAAAGGGCAGGGGACAGGTCATTATACCCCAGGAATCCAGCAGATGTACAACCAGATAATCCATATAATAGTCAACCTTCTTTAGACCATCTGTCCTATTAGAATGGGCTGAAGGTATGATTCTGCCACTGTCCCAGAAAGTTTGTTTTTCTTAGTATCTGTTTTTCCTGTAATTATAAACTTGAAGATTAGTTGCTGGGGTAGAATAGGGGCAAAGTGAGTCATGTTTGTTGTTTCTGTATGAAACTTCAAAATCATGTGGAATTAAATGAGTAAAAATCCCTTTATTTGTCTAGAATCCCTCTTAGAGACTCTTTACATGTAAGCTCATTAGTCCTTTATAGATTGGGTCTCAGGCACAGTAAAAGAATAGCTAGACCCCTTGCCACCTCTTCTCTCTCAACACTCCATCCTCTACTTTCCCTGATCATTAGGAATGTAGCAGAGTAAGGAAGGAATCCCTGACTCAATGCTCTGTATGATTTCCAGAAACTTTTGGTGTATTGTTTCTTTTTCTTTAGAACAGAATTGATCTGCTATCAAGATGGAATTCTGTCGAACATGATTGAGATCAAATACATTCTAATAAATGAAGTCAAGGCCTACTTAGGTATTAGCTGATACCTACAGGACATCTGAGGATTGTTTTCCTAAGATTGTATTAAAAATACAACACAGTACATCAAACCACAGAATGTTTATTGAATAAACTTGTGGTATACAATCCATCTATATTTTTTGCTTTCATTCATTTTCCATTCTGCAAATTCCATCACATTAGCAGAGTAACCAGTGAGTTGTTTTCTATTTTCTAAAAAGTTTTCCCCATCACTGTGCATCATTTTTGAGTCTTCTAAGCACAGAGCTGAGTTTAGAGATTTGCTAAAATTCACCTGTCAGTCCAGGCCGCGGCTGGTTCTTGACTGCTTGTTCTCCAATTTGTGCCTAAGTCTGCAAACCAGACTTATGGGTACAACTGAGGAGCAAAAAAATTCAAAGGTCCTACAGCTCATAATAAAAGCAGTCTGAAGGGCCGGCCTTCTCACAGATTACTTACTGTGTGTTTGCCTTACTGCTAAACAGTGCAGTTTAATACTCTGACACCTGGCATGCTCCCTCTGCAATGCACCATCACACTGGTGATGGCAGCAAGGTGTCTTGAGGACCAGGGACAATGAAACAGGAGTGAGTTCAATCAATATCCTCCCTTATTTCTGGTCTTCCCATCCTCAGATCAGATCATCACTTGTTTCTATCTTTCCTGGAATTGCTTGCCTGGCTGCAAAATTTTAAAACACCAAAGACAAATTTACGTTACACTTTGACTGATCACTCCCAAGTACATCAGAATACATATTTACTTAGAGAAACACTGGAAAAAAACCCACAGAATACTAGCGATTAATATAGTAGGACTGTGAGTAATTTTTCTTCCTTTTTTAAAACTTATATTTGTGCAATAAATTAAAAGGGAAAATCCTAACAGAGCGATGGGCAAGGAGGTGGGAAACTAGTTCAGTCTCCCTGAAGAACAGAAAAATATCTTTGAAACAAGTAACCCTACCATCTGACTTATGGTTCAGGTGATAAGATGTGGCTTGGAGCAGTAAGTCTCATTAGCTTAAAATAAAACACTTCAAGCCCTTTTATTTTTCTTTCCTCTTTCCTAATATGCTACTTCAGCTATTGTTTCTTAGATACTTCCCAAAAAACCCTGATGAAAAAAGTGGAAAGGCTCTCAAATAATTTACTATGTTTTCTTTCATTTATTCAATAAACATCTGTTGAATATTTATATATGTATTGCAAAATTGCTGCATTTACATTACCTTGCCTACTAAAAATAAAAGAATATATTATTTCAGTCTCTAGAAATGGGTAACAAAAATGCCCATAGACAACAGAATTTTAAAAGTGGGGATTTCTAGGTGTGGCGGGGCATGCCTGTAATTTCAGCACTTGGAAGGCTGCGGCAGGAGGATCACTGTGAGTTTGAGACCAGCCTGCGCTACACAGTGAGTTTAAGGTCAGCCTGAACTGCACAGGGAGACCCTGTTTCAAAAGGAAAAAAAAATAGGGGGATTAGAAACTTTAGGTTTTATTGAACAAAGAAGTAGATGGATGAAGAATCTTAAGTCTGGGACCTAGTTTCTTTTTAACTTTTGGAAACTACCTGTTTATTTGGCTAGGTACTATAAATCAAATTCAGGCTGGGGACATAGCTTAGCAGCACAGCACCTGCCTAGTAAGCATAAGGTCCTGAGTTTGATTTTGAGTACAAAAAAGCCCCTGAAAAACAAAACAAATCACAAGTTCAGGGGTGACAAATATTGCTACCTGCTGACTGCTGCTTAGTAGCTGTGATTAAACATTTTCTGAATATATGTTAAATACAAAAACTTGTGCCCTGTACTTGAAATATGAGCGCCTTATTTAAAAACTGAACAAAACCCACTTTAAACTATTGTAAGAAGGGCATTTTAGAATTTTCCTGTCACCCAGTAATTATGTATGTAACAATAATGGAGACTGAAACAACCAACCTCAGCAAAAGCTGCCAAAACTTCAACTGGCCCCTCACCTTTCATTTCTGTGACCTTTTAATTGAACAAAAGAGAAGGAAAAACATTGTGATCTCACAGTTCTACCATTTGCACTTCCCACAAATGTAATGTTTTATACAGAGTTAACAATTAAACTGAAAGATATAAAAATTAAACTAAAAAATTTAACAATATTTATAACTAGATCTTATTACATAAAGAACAGAGCTTAAAAATGTTTACCAGCAAGGCTGAGACAAGAGGATCACAAGTTCAAGCCCAGCCTGAGCAACTTTGTGACTTAATAAGACCTTATATCAAAAACTTAAAACCAAAAATAGAAAAGGCTAGGCATGTAGTTCAGTGCAGAGCTCCAGGGTTTAATCCCTAGTACCACACACAAAAATTGTTTAGTATCATTTTAACATGATCTTAAGAAACTACTAAAATAATGACTCATCCTTTTCCTACCAGCACTCTTGACTACAGTTGATTTCTTTCTTTTCTTCTCAGATGTTATCCGATCACTAAAGTATAGGTTAAATAGGAATAAAGTACTTACACTGGCCCAGAAACAGATTTCCTAAGACTTTATATTTGAAAGTACTTTTTTTCTTTTGGAGTGCTGGAAATCAAAGCCAGGGTTTTAGGTATGCTAAGCATGCAGTGTACCACTGAGCTGTATCCCCAGACCATGAAAGAGCAATCTTTAAGTGAATTATTAGTTGAAAACATGATAGGTTTACATTTTCAATTCAACACATCCATGAGTTAATTTCCTTTTTGGCATACTGGTTGATTTTAGAGTACTGGTAGGTACTGGAAGCAAAATACACTATTCTGGAACAGATACTATATTGTACTGTACAAGTCATTTTTCACATCCAGACTTGCTTTTTTTTTCAGCAAAGCTTTCATTTTAACAAATTAGCCTCCTATGTAGTTCCTGTCAAGTCCATTCATTACATTTTCAACACAGAGGAATGATTTCTCTCAAGTTTAGTTGGGGTAGGGGTTGGCGTTTGTAGAGCCAAATGGGGCACTGAGCCTTAGCATGAGACTAAGTTTCTCATTTTACGGACACTTTCTCTCCATGCCTCCTCCCCTAATATGTACAATTTCATTCATAATTTAAATTTTTAAGCCAGAATGTTATGGACAATCCAAAATAACCGAAATAATTTACTAAAGTTATTTATCAATAAGCAGGTTTTTTTTAAAATTGAGGAACTAAAAGAATTAAATAGAAGGCACAGTAGCACTGTAAAGCTTTTTCAAAGAACAATAATCTTTGTATGTGTAGAAACCCAGCTTCCTTTTTGTTGTGAAAAATGTCTGCTGAATAATTAGAAAGTCTTTATTTGTCATCCTTTCCTTTGGTCTTTCTGTATACCATCTCCCGAAAGCTGGCCAGAATCTTGTTCTCTCTCTTTCGTCTCTCTTCTTGGTTAAAGGATGCAAGAGCTCTCTTCTCATCAGCACTATAGATCTGGTTCTCTTTTCGCAGTCGCACAGCCTCCATTCGCCGATGCCTGGAGATAATTTTATTCTTGGCTTAATTTCTCAGAAATTATTCTCATAGATTGTCCCATTAACCCCCCCCCCTTTTTTTTTTTTTGGCAGAACCAGGGATTGAACTCAGGCCCTTGAGCTTGCCAGGCAGCTGCTTATTCTACTGAGCCATCTCCCCAGCCCCAACCCCTTCTTAATACAGAATGATCAGCTTAAAAGCTGACACACAGAGGCCTTTTGAAATTAAACTATCACCGCATCATTCCTGCCATTTGATTAATTTCTAGAATTCAAATTATGATCTCTTAAATTCCGTCAACATAGAAAACATTATTAGTTTTAAATGCTGAGGATCTAAGTCCAGTTTAATTGTTTACAGCAAAACAATTAGAAGTCCTAGGTGATATGTCCATTTGCTTTTGTGGAACTGATAGCAGGACAGATGAGAGATTTAATTTTCCATCAGTCAAGTGGCACTTCTTCTTTTTTTTCTTCTTCTTTTTTTTTTTGGTACTGGGGATCTAACTCAGGACCTTGCACTTACCAGACAGGCGCTTATGTCACTGAGTTATCTCCTCAGCCCAAGTGGCACTTTTTAAAATTTCTACTTTATCAATACAACCAAAAGAACCAAGTCTTTTTTTTTTTTAAGAACCAAGTCTTAATGTATAACTGAAGAGTGGTCTTGGGGTAGGTTTAATTTCTTTAGAATCCAGTAGAGACTCAAAGAAAAGAACGAAGAGATTTCTTACAAGGGTCAAATTACTGAAGTATAAGAGTAGAGGCAGAAGGAAATTATGATAGCATATTCAAAAGGTCTCTATTTTGAGGGAAAAGCTGTCTTTTTTGTATATATGTACCCAGCCCTACAGAATCAATTCAAGAAGCTTGAGCTATTTCTGGAAAAACAGAAAAATCTGAGTAAGGAGAAGAGGAGATAATCAATTTAAATTAGTTTGAAGGCAGGGGAGTGTCAAGATGGGAGAGATGAAGAAATAAATACCGACTTATCTATATATGTATATACATACATATGTATATATGTTTTGTTTTTTTTAAGACAATGTTTCACTTTGTAGTCCAGGCTGGCTTCAAACTCAACAGTGATCCTCCAGCCTCCATCTTCTCAAGTGCTGGTATTATAAGCGTGTGCTACCACGCCTGGCTAAAATGACAATATATTTAGGTTGCTCAGGCCTAATCTGAGTGTTCTGAACAGTTTACCTGGTACAGAAAATGCCACCTGAATCTACAGCCCTCCAACCCTGGCTGTGTCCATACTCATCTGATCTCAGAAGCTCACCAGGGATGGGCCTAGTTAGTACTTGGGAGAAAGTGCTACATGAAGGATGCTATAATGAACTTGCATATATGTGGAGTTCTAGCATATATGAAAATTTTTTCTCTTGGATACTCTAGACTGGGGTCGCTGAATTATTATTTCCCAAAGTGTACCAATATATACCATCACTAGCAGTATTTCAGATTTTGTGTATCCAGAGCCTTTCAAATGCTTGGCATTGTTAGAACTTTAAACTTTTTTCCTATCAAATGGGTGTAAAATGGTATCTCACTAAGTTCTTAATTTCCATCCCTAAAAATAAAGGTTATCTTTTTATGTATGTATAGGCTATATGTACTACTTCTTCTGAAAAATACTTGTCTGGTCATTTACCCATTTTTCTTTTGGGTTGCCAAAGGTATGCTTTAAGCATTCTCACTACTAACAGTTCTGTGTATTTTTAGATCTTATCCTGCCATGGAACTTGTCTTTTTTTTTAAAAATGCATTTGGTACAGGGTCTACAGGGTCTCACTACGTAGATCATACTTATAGTGCTTCTCCTGTTTTCAGCCTCCCAAGAGCTGGAATTACAGGTGTGCGCCACCATGCCCAGTCTCAATTGCTGTCTCAGTGCACCATGGAGGCAGGGCCAATACAGCATGCCAGGGATCGAACCCCACTGAACTCTGACTAAGCAGGTGCTTTAGTTCGCTGAGCTATTTGGCTGGCCTTGTCTTTTTTTTAATATATCTTTTGATAAACATGAGTTCTTATCTTTAGCCTAGGCAAATTTAATTTATAACTACTTAATTTATTTTTTTTGGCTGGCTCAGGCTGCTTTAAGGGCGGGTCTGGTGCAGTATGTTGTGCTTGGGATCAAACCATAGTCCCTTGCTCTGGACTGATTTTGCCCAAGAAGGAGATTTAGACAACTGAGCTAACCTGCCAGCCCCCGTATAACTACTTAATTTAATAACTACTTTATTATTATTATTACAATTTTAGAGAGAAGGTCTCACTAAGTAATTCAGGCTCGCCTTTAGCTCATGGTAATCCTCCTGTCTCAGTCTA